ACCTCTCGGAAGGTTAGGGCGAAATTCACTCTCATTTTCTGTCACCAGTGGGGTGCGACAGGGTTGCCCTATCTCTTCGTTTCTCTGCAACTTTGCCATAGATGATGATTTTCTACAAAACGCGTTGCTTAACGTGAAGAATGCTGGGATCGTGCTTCTTCTTAGAGAGAGAGTCGTACACTTAGAGTGCACTAATGATATTGCTTCACTCAGGAGTAACGCACAAACGATTCAAGAGTCGTTGAATCCTTTGGCGTTTGAGATTACTGGTTATGGTATGTCCTTTGCGCCTTCAAAATACAAGGCGTTGTTGCAAGACTGGTAGGAACCGGTTGCTGCACTTTCATTGGGTAACCACACTTCGGGAGTTGTACAACGGCTGGAAGAGGTGTGGAAGAGGATATATCTGAACGCGTAATCAAGGCTACATTAGCGTGCGGTAATCTGATACCGGCGTGACATATCCCTTTCATTAAAAAGAGTCTGTATTGCGTAAGGTGTCGTCTACGGCCGCGAAACCTGGCCTTTTCGGGCAGATCATGTCCAACTACTATCCGTCCTCGACAACCGTTGTCTGCGCAACATCGAGCGCGTATGGTAGAAGCGTCGAGTAAATAACGATGGGGTCAGACGACGTGCCTTAGGATCACATAATCTTCCGTTGAGCAAAACAGTTTCACTGCATTGTCTTAAATGGCTAGGGCACGTCTTACGAATGCCTGAGCAATGTCTGCCATACCGTGCACCATTTACATACATTTGTCGAAGGTGAAAGAAACAGCAAGATGGGCAGGGTATGATGTGGTGGAGAGGGTTGTATTTGGCTTCCGTCGGGGATTTCCGGTTACCCGGCGATGGCCCCGAAGATTCGGATTGTCTTTGGCTGGCGACACTGCGGGATATGGCATCAGACTGAAGTCAGTGGCGTGAATGTATTCTTGTCTGTTTGCGATCCCGAAAATGAAACAAAGATGTCAAAATGGCGTACAGTAAACAAAAATTTATTATTCCTAAAGTTGACTGTTTCCCCCCTTTATGTTTATATATTTTGCATTAGACCCGTGCTTATTTGGACGACGTATCTGTGTAAAATATATACATATATAACGCTTCCAACCGATTCAAAACCCGGGATGCCACTGCTGAGATGAGTGACGTGCGATACAAGCAACAGGCTCCGAATTATGTAAAGGCAAAGTTAATAAAGTCCCCTTTATAACCATAGTGGCTCGTTATTGACTAATACAAATTGGCTTCTTTCCCCTTTCGCATGATTTGCTTTCTATTTGGCATTGACTATTTTTGATTTACCGGAAGTTTTACTCCAGTCGCCTCGATTTACCACCTTGATCCATTCGTCAACTTTTTGATAAATAACTCAGTGTTTATCGATCAAGGTGGGAATAACGTGACAGGCATGGTTCACTTGGCTTAAAGATAATTTATCGAAACGCTCACTCGGAAGTTCCTTGTGCCTGTGTTGACTTCATCTGCTCGATATGACTAGCATCTGGGGTTTGACTGTCTGGTATACCAGGTGCTTCATCTGACGTTGTAATATCTGAGAAGATAAAGCGTGGCGGCGAAAGGAATAAAGGGAAATCGGTTGTTTTGTGAATTTCCAATATTTCTAATCTCCCTACGGATAATTATGTTCAAGTCAATGCATTTATACGAAAATAGGACTTGGAACTTGGACTTGAGAAAATTTATTTTTACTGAGTACTCTAAAGCGATTGATAAAACTACTTTTAATTCAAATTGATCTTCCAACATTTGTCAGACAAGCACCTAACTCTGCATCCACTAATTCACGGCTGTGGCTCACCAAACCTGATTAACTGATGTTGCACAAATTTAACTCCTTACTGCAAAGTAATTTGATACTCAGACAGACAAAATGTGTTGATATCGATCCAGGTGCTGGAAAGGGTTTCGCTGTCACTGCTGGTTACGTGTAATACTCATAATCCTGCATAATCGGATGCAATCTGTCACATGATATATTGATTCCTAACAAAACGGGATGAAAAAGGAGTTTAAACACATTTTAGTAGCGTCTGTGAAACTTTGACAATGTACAGTAGAGAATACCCAGTAGGGCACTCCGCATAACATAAAAAAGGAACAAATCATGTAGTTCTGCTTAACCAGGAGCATTGAGAATGCGGAAGGAAGCTTACCATTCGGTTAGGGTGGCTTTCGTGCAGGCAATTGTGATGGAAGTGGTTTCCATGTTGATGTTTATGATGGTGGTGCAGGCCGTGATGCCAATGGCCTATGTCATGGGTATCATCAGTTCAAAACCTTTGTATTCAGAATTATGATATACCTTAAAGTATTGTATCAGACAGAATCTGTGATCTTGTGTTGTGCTGTTCCAAGAACAATGGAACCATCATTTATGTGCCCATATGTGGCAAGATATTAGACTTCTCTGTAGACGTCAGAAAGTACGGCCGAAGTTTGTGTTGTGTCCTACCGAGCTATCACTGAACCTGTTCTTACGATACGTATCCCAACGATCGCAGTAAAGGACAGATGGAAAACAGAGCGAGCCTTTATTGGTATCGTCAAACAAAACGTGGTCGAGTAAGGAATGAAACATGTGCTTTTTATGGGATTGCTCACTGTCTATACATTTATCCAGAATGGGGGTTACATGGGCGGCGATGGAGGGCTTGCCAGAAACAAGGTCATCGTACTCTGTACTTTTGCTCTGAAGCCCAGTGCCATCGAGAAAACGCCGACAGGTTCACACGGTCGCGACTGATCCCAATCGAGTTCTGGTTCATACCGTGACAATTCTCAGGAGAAGGTTAGGCTTCTCCTGACAGTTTGGTGTTGATGTTGATGTTATCAATGCCGCATTCCTGCACCAGTCATCGGACATCCTTCCTGCCACTCGTCACACAATGTTTGTAGTGTGAAACCATTCTCAAATTGTGATGTGTTAAACCTTTAAATAGTAGCAGGCATGCCCGATGATTTACCTCCAACCCTATTCAAATTTGGCGCTGCTTCCCTAGCTGGGGCTATCACCTCCATTGTAAATGAATCTCTTAACACTTCTACTATCCCCGACTGTTGGATACCGGTCACAATCATACCGATCCCCAAAGCATCCAAATCTTCTATCTTCTCCAAACGTTTTCGTCCCAAAGCATAATCATCTTCAGCTCTTAAGTTGACTAAAAAGGCTATCCTCAAATGCCTTCAGCAGTCCATAAACATTCTCAATGATCTGTTACAATTTGCTTACAAGCCTAGTAAATTCAGCTTGAACACAGACTTCATCCTTATTCACTTTATCATTAAATCTTTGAACAACTCTCTTAACTCTATTAGGGGTATTTTTCTTCACTAATCTTCAGTATTTGGTTCCATTCCTCTATTTAACTTGCCACAAAAGCTGGAATCGTTTGAGTGCCCAAAACGATTGTTACCTTGGATATCCAACTATTTTATTAGTAGAGTACAAACCACTAGATTGTGGAAGACTTCATCTAAACTCTTAGACAGCAACGCCAGAGTTCCTCAAGGAGCTGTGCTATCCTCATACTTATTTTGCACATGTGGCATTCACCAGTTAGCATGTAAGCTGACTGCCCTGACAGGTTTTCCTTAGAATTCACCGGACTCCACCGAAAGAGCTTCTAATCAAGTTGAATTGTTCAAATAGTTGTTTGGCAGATTTGAAGTTTGTATACACAGATATATGCCTCTGTAAGTTGGATGGGTAAATTCGAATATGAAAAGATCAGTGCTATCGGTGTGCCCTCGTAGCTCAGCTGGTAGAGCATGCGCGTACAAAGCGTAGGCGGTGTCCATGCGTGGGTTCGAATCCCACCGAGGTTACTGACCTTTTCACAATCGACATACAAACTTCAAATCTGCCAAACAACTATCTGTCCAATAAGTGTGTTGAGCGTTTATATAGTTTCGCACGCTCTTCATTTCCAGGAGAACCCAAAGTGGTAAATAATAACCCTTTATCTAGGGTGAACTCTGTCAAACTTATTAATGTAACTATAGATAGTAATCTTTGTTTTTCAACCCACATCCAAAACTGCATTGGTAAACTGCGGCACCTATCATTCCAAATTCAATATCTCATGCAGTTTCGCACACCCAGTCAGTGAACTTTTCTAAATGAGAGGTAAGCTTCGGTGCTTGAAAACGTTACACAATGCACTGCAGTGTGATTGGGAGACCTTTTATTGATGTAACTTTTCCAGAAATCCTACCACTTTATGATCTGTTAGCGCAACACTACTGGATCCGAAATATGTAACCATTGGTCTTTCTTCATTTAATAGTTTTTCAAGCAGATTTGGCGGCTTCAATTATTGATCCGATCCGGTCTGCAGGAAAAAAGATGGCTGTGCTGCTGTTCATACATGCATTTGTGAATATCAGGGTCACTGTGCAAATAGATCGGCTCATGCTTCAATAAACGGTGCATGGTTACACGTACGTTTACGGATTTAGTGTTGTCGCTATCTGTCTACCCTCATATAACTGAATATATTGGTTGGTGCTTTATATTTATGCTGTAACTCAATTCAACCAATGATAAGATAGGCATAACTGAACTCTTACCAACTGATTGAATCCTGCTGGAATCACCTTATCATTTGTTCCACACGCAACAGCTTACCTCGTTCTGTCTCCCAGGCCTCTTCCGTACGCTGTTTCTTCTGCGCTTCCACATAGTCCATAAAAAATTGTATCATTTCTTTGCGTTTCTGTTCTTCCATTTCTTTCTCTCTCAATTGTCTCGATTCGGCCAAACGAGACAATTCCAATTCCCGAACTGTGTCCGATGCCGTAGAATGCGGACCCTTGATTCGACGAACCAGATCAGCTTCGCGTCTTTTTTGTTGTGAGAATTTTCTGGTGTCTATGCGACTACCAAGGTCTTTGGCTTGTTCCGCACGTTTCATATACAAAGATTGTGGTAGTTTGGGTTCCAGATGTTTCTCAAATTGCATGCGTTTCGTATCGTTTAGTCTTGATGCCTTTTGTATTTTGAAAAATAAGGCTTGGTGAAATTTTGGGTGAATAACTGGTCCATCTGCTTATAATTTTTCCCTGTAGCCTTTTAAACTGTCAAGGTTGCATCACAGCTTGCCACTTGCGTGGGAAATATATAAAGTTCTCCGTGTTTGCAGTCGACCGTCAATCACACTATTCTTCAAATGGTGTCACCAAAAGTGATAGTAAGCCGTGTTCCAAAGTCTCTGATACCCTCGACGATGCGTGATTTGCCTCCATGGTCTCGTCACTTTTCTGCTAGCCTCCGTGACGGAGATCTCATAATTAACCTAATCAATGACTGAAGACATGTTATAGTACGGTTGAGTGTTGAGAACAGTTAGGATCATATATGTTTCCACTTTCTATGCAGATCTTCTTTACCTACTCTCCGTACATTTATCCTGCAGGTCTGAACATTGGTCGTGAGGACCGATTAAATGTTTATATTACTTAGGACTACTGACAGGAATAGGTATACAGTATACCTCAAGAGATGTGGGGCATAGAACAACAATTTGTGACATAACAATGAGATGGAAAGAAAACACTGTAGAGAAGAATTCAGAGCCCCGTCTGAATTGGTCTGTGAACAACGAATCGGTTTAACAGTGTTGGAGTTTTCTACGATCTATGTGCCCGCATATTCCGTCCATTTTTTTGAGATGAATGAGATCTACCGTTATTTCTTTTCCCCCATTTTATGAGTACATCAGATTATCACATTATTCGTAAGGTGAACTGAATATACAGATGGTCACGAGACTACTAAATACCACAGTTACTTTAAAAAAATGGTTCACGTGACGATGCGTTGATAATTTTGGTAAAATGTGCACCGAGAGGTGTGTATTGAAAGCATGATGACAAATAGCTTCAAATAAAGTGAACTGGTGATAAACGGTGTGATTGCATCATACGATGGAGGTTTGTCTAGTCTCATTCTGCGCCGCATATTTTAGGTAGGGGTCATGCAGGACCAGTCACATTTGCCATAAGAAATGACCTGCAACATTGTGGTTACCATTCAAGTGTCCAACCTTCATTGTTTATTTTACCAAACCGCTCCAAATTATTTAAGGATTGAGGGTCACAGAGGATTTTATTCCATTTCAAAAAAGGAATTCGTCGTGTATAGAGCAAATTAAGCGTGAAATGAAAAGTTAGGAAGCAATGTAAGGTTGTTTCGCCTTGGTTGGGTCTGGTCAGCAGTGCGAATCCATCGACAAGCCCGCAAAGATGGGTTGTAATATATCCTATACACGGAAAATGACAAACGGTTTGGTCAGTTGCCTGGTGGCCAAGTGGATGGTATACTTGGGTCCTACCGTTAAGATCCCGGGTCGATCCCCAGATGGTGGATGGATGCACACTTCTGACGAGACCCAACCCGATGGAAACGTCTGTAGAGAGCTTTCTAACTATACTTTGTTTGCTCTATACACAACGAATCTCCACGTTGGTATTTAAGAACTAGCCAAACTCGTCGATGTTTTATCGTGTTTTCAAGACTGCATTTACTTTTGCGTAAGAACAGCTCTTTCGATTTCAGTTGCATTATTTCCAAAACCAATGTGCTATTTCCTTCTGGCCCCAAATTGTTTGTTTCATTGTTCATTTAACAACAAAAAGTAAAGAAATAAACATATGCGGCAGCTCACTTTGATGATGAGTTCAGTAGACGATATTCGCTTAACAGCAGCATCGTCTTTAGCTATCAAATTCTGAAAAAGAGAAAAACATCTCTTACAGGAATTACTACTATTACCTTGATACTGTAATGATAAACAATGTTTCTAGTATAACATGACATTTTTCTTAAGCTGTGTCATTGGCAGGTTGAACTAGAACGAAACGTAAAAAATGTGGCAAATGAGCATTGAGACAGGTGAAATGCATAATACTGCCCGCTTCCTTCCGGCCAGGTTGTCATTTCTTTAATGTTTAATTTATTGGAATGAAGTGAGTTACAAAATTTGGTTGATCTACGGGGCAGCAGGTTAAAATAACAACCCCCCGCCAACATCGTTTGAACACATCATTCTAGAAACAACCAGAATCGCTACCCAACACCGCATTTCTTTATGTACCGTACTTCGTTCATTTTGATCAAGCGTTCAGCATCACTAAGCACACGGAGTGATTGATTTCAAAATATTCCCCATTTAGCATCTTATTCGCGGTCAGGACGATTGTAAACCAAATCCGCTGTACTCAGAAGTCGCTCGTTCGGTCTTTAGGCCTGCCATGGCTACAGATATAACAAGCCGGTAATGCAACCCCGTTGGGTATATCAGGAACATAGATGAGGTGCTGAATCTGTAACACATGGTGCATGAAATCATAAGATCCAAACTGGATCAAACAGCAAATTATGGCTGCTAATTGTACTGGTCGGTTATTAAACTCATGGAAGATTCCCATAGAATATTAAAAGACAATGTAGGAAAATGTGCTTGTTTCCGTAACTTCGTCTTCAGGCATTTACAGTTGTGTGTATATTTAATGTAAAAATAAATGTTATTGATCCATTAAGGTTAAGTGTGAGAATACAACATTTTCTGTCAAGTTTAATCGGAGCGAGTGGAGAACATGGGGGCAGGGGGCGAAGGGAGATCAAGGTCAATTCTGGAAATTTCAGATGACCATTTTCACGTGTACCTAGTCACGCCATGTTGTGTCATCACATGACCGAGGTCATGGTTCGGATCGTCATGTAGGTTTAGTTGGGGCCAAGGTAAATTAGAGTGCGGCAATCATTTTTTGTTTGCACCGTGGTGGGTTCATGATTTTGATTGCTACAGCTTCTGTCATTGCCAAGCGACTTTTCCGAACGTACTCCCACTTGTTTTGGGGCTCTAAATGCATCGTCGTTTGGCTTGTGCCCGGCATCGGCGAGGTGGACCACAATTGCACTGGTAATTGTTTACTTGCAACCCGTGCTATGCTAAACCGGTTTATGTTCTCTGATCCTTTGTGAGAACTGTCTCATCGTTCGTCCTACATAACTTGCCGAAGGTGTGCAAGTGAAGGAATATGTAATCATAGATGATGAGACGATGTACAGCTGTCCATCCTTGAGGTTTGTGCAGAGCTGTGACCGGTTTGTTAACATCACACGTAGCGTGGCGTCTGGATATGTTCGTGCAACTGCCTTTTCCAGACGTCTTCTTAGTAGATCACCTGTCGTTTCGACTTCAAACGGGAGCTGCAAGAATAGTTCTTTCTTTTTGGTCATGATTGGTTTTCACTGTGTCGGCTTTTCTATGAAGTTCTTCTCTATGGAACGCTCCGGGTATCCAGAGTTGACCTTGGTCCCCCTTCACTCTGTCCCCCAAGTTCTCCACTCACTCCTGTTAAACTTGACAGACATTGTTGTATTTTCACACTTAACCTCAATGAACTAATCACATTTATTTCTACATTAGATATAAACACACACAACTGTAAATGCCTGAAGACGAAGTTACTGAATTTTTCAAACAACAGTTTGTTTAGCGCACTGGGTTTTGTTCGTGGGGAGTATTGAGAATTTGCAAACCACGTGATGTGATAGGAAATAAGTAATGCTTTAACGGTTGGAAAATGCCACCGAAATACGTTGTAATGTAAACGCAGTGGAGAAAAGGGTTGTTTTCACTGAATCATTCAATAGGTTACACACCTCAATACCTTGAGTGATGAACATTAACTGTAGACTATAAAAATATCATATAACAGTTTTATGATTGAACATCATTCACAGGTACATCACACCACTCCACTGATTTACATCATAAAGGATGATGATAAATGACAGTGATAAATGATAGTGACGACCATTAGCCTTCTTTCGAAATGTTTTGGGGAGCGATCAGGAGGGACAACTACATGCACCGATTCCGATCGCTCATGCTGTAACATCGAAAGTTGTGATCGCCATGAGAGGTCTGTTGGTTCTACCACAGGATTTAACAACAATGTGGGAGTATGTAGGTAGATTTCGACCGCCCCGCCCTGGCCACGATGGACATTCCACTCCACGTATATCGATGCACGTGAAATAGAAAGAGTAGATTAAAGGCCTGAGCCATGCATATCACCCACGTGGTTGCACTCCATCAGATGGTGTACCGAGAGTCCTTATGGTAAACCCAACGGCCAACAGAAATTATCCCAAAAGAATATACAAATGTGTATGCAGAGAGAGACTGAAAATAAGTAATACATCTTCTGTTAGTAAACTCAGAAGCAGCCTGGAGATGAACACCGTACGAAGATCTACTGCGCTGAATGTTTTATCCACACGGGTAGGCAGTGCTAGTGTTAGTAAGTGTCATAACCTCGGGGGTTGTACTACTCCCTAATTTGGCGCTATACCTACCGGTTCTTTGTACAATGGTAACGACCTTGTCTGACAAATTGTGGAACCTTATTATGCTGTTCACGAATCATTCTGTAATGTTTTTCAGATGACTTTTCACATCTGAGTTCCATCTTGGAAGAATTTTTAAGCTCCTTACCTGCACTTTATTCTCTATAAATAAATACTCTTCGTTCTAGTGGCACAACAATTTGTACTTCATTTACTGATAGTTGGGAACAACCTATTGTTGCACCAATCCATCCAAGGAGCTCAGGCGTTGTTTCTTGATTGCAGAACTGGAGATCCTATTTCAACCATATAGCCTACCCCTCCTTGCTATCATAACAACCAGTATGAACAATAGATCTCTCACAGATGTCACTTTATCGTTCTCCAATCAAACCAAAACCAATACGTTGATGATAACCGAAGTGTGAAGAAAGTGCTGTGATGGAAATGAACCGTGATATTTTCCTGTCTCTATTTCATCTTTAATTCACAAAGTTTCACGTAATAAGTTTGAACACATTTACCAGTGGATAAATCACCGAAAAAGAATGACCAATCTAGCAATCCATCCTTACTCAAAGCACCCACTGATGCTAGAGAGTC